GGGGGGTGGGGGGGGGGGAGGGTTTACTTGCCAGGTCTCTTATTTTTCAAGCAGAGTCCAAATGGTTTTGAAAGGCATTTGACTTTCTCTGGTGGCACCTGTACAAATGACAGAGTTGAAGACAACTTATCATGATGTCAAATTAGGCTCTTAAAACTATTAAATATTAAATTTTAATTAAGTAAAAATAAAATTAATAATAAAATAATTAAAAAATTAAAATAAATTAAAAAATATTAAATTATCTGCTGTGTGTTCACCTTGTTGTTGTTTTTATTAGTTTGTTTTGAAGTGGATGAGTCTTGTAAAACTTGCTGTAGGTGAAGCTGTCTGGGGAGCTTCTGAGTCATCTTCTTTCTGGGCTGTGAGTGATGGATTCTGTTCAACATAAGACACCACGAAGATGGTTATTGCAGGGTAACTGCTGGAGTAGGATAAAATGTCCTCTCATTTAAGAGGTCAGTATTTACATCTAAACTTTCAGGAGCCGGTCAATATTTTAAAAGTTGCAGCCGACAGTGAAACGTCACTGGCACAACAACTAAGAGATGGGACTGAATTCTGTGCAGTTCTAGGCTTACCTCAATGGAAAGGAATTTGCTAGGGCTGTGGGATTTGGGCTGAAGACACTTCTATGACAGGGAGCTAGATCTTGACTCTGTCTTATCATAATAATATCATTACTGTCTTCATTGCAGGTGAATTTTGTTTTTATCCTTCCTTATGGTGATTCAAACTTTTCAGTTAGTACTGATGGCTGAGGACTCAGCAATGACTTAGTCCAGCCAGTGCAGCTGCTTGCTTTTCTGTTTCTCTCCACTTGTTCTTTAGTGTTTTAGATAGATGGATAACTGGTTTTCATTTTTTTCAGGCATCACTGGCTTCTGATGTTTTCCATATGAGATCTTAATCTTCAGTGATATCGTGGTTGGCTATTCTACAGATGCTGATTACCAGAAACAGGATATGACTGTAATCAAGAACGGACCATTAGGTGGCTGGTGGGATAGGATGCAGGTGTGGAGGGAGATGAAGACAGGGATATGACAAAGAATTTGTGAAATAACACTTTTGCGTTGGGCTCTATGGGCATGAGGGTTAACAAAGTTAAAGTGAGTCTTGCCAAGACAGTAAGGGTTATGACCTTGAAGGGTACCTTCAAGAACAAGAGCTGCTGTTATATGTTGCTGGGCAGACAGTGTACTGCCAGCGCTGAAACATGGAACTGCCACAAGATCCCCTGAAAGCCAAAGACAAGTAGACTGAACAAAGGGATGAGTTGAAGTCATGGTTAATTGTATAAAGCATTTATTCAAGATACCATCTTCTGGCCTATCTTCTCTCCCAAAAGCTCAGTCACCATGTCTGAGGCTTTCCAAATTTTATTCTTCAGAGTGGCAGGTAATAAATAGCAAATAACAATTTAGTGATGTTTGTTTATTAATTACTAGTCAAAGGCTGGGTCTGATC